GAGAGAGCGAACAGAGAGATGAGAGAGAGATGAGAGAGAGAGAGAGAGACAGTGAGAGTGTGAGAGTGAGAGTGATGAGGGGGGGGGGGCTTCGACCTGAGAAAGAAACCTTGCTATCGCAAGCCAAGGACGATTTACAAATACATCTCGAAGCCAGATAGGCTTTGGTAGCAGGGCTTCAACGTCAGCACTGACTTTGGAGACTGAATGGTTTCAGAAGACATTTTCAACCACTTCGTGTGCACCTCAACCCGGACCAACGGTCGTCTTAGGTGCGATCTGCTGTCCGTCGTCTTCCACTTCAAGGACCTCACGTTGGAGGTCATACGGCTCCTCCTTTATATGTGGCTCTTAGCCCGGAGAGGAGAGAGAGAGAGAGAGAGCGAGAGAGCGAACAGAGAGATGAGAGAGAGAGAGAGGCAGTGAGAGTGTGAGAGTGAGAGTGATGAGGGGGGGGGGGTTCGACCTGAAAAATCAGGGGTTAGGATTTGCACCCGGTCGAAAGAAACCTTGCTATCGCAAGAGTAACTCCAGCTAGCTTCGCTAGCTTTCGTGACATACCTGTTGCTTCCATCAAATCATTCTTGGAAACATCGGCACTTGGCTTTCAGCAAATGTTCTGAGGGCGATTCTACCGTGTTGCCAGCGGCTTTCCAAGAAGAGCCCACGCGGTTTGCATTTGGAACGGGGGTGCTGGATGGGTTGCTTTTGGGGGTTGTGGGGTTCGCATTGTTTCCACGATGAGGCGGAAAAAGTTTGCAAACCCAAGCAAAAGCAGAAAGCAATTCACACACCGCGATGTCCATGACGGGGAACACCAACATGCCCCAGCCAAACTCTCTCTCTATGTTTATATATATATATACTGTATAGACATGCAAATCATATCAAATCATATATATATATATGTGTAATCCATCGCCGCTGGTCCGCACACTCTTTGGCATGCTTGTGCTCTGTCCTGCTGTCCTACTGCTGGCACCACCTGAGGAGCAAAAAAGAGGTAGTAACAGAAGGACAGCTGCAGCATTTCCAGTGCAATTTGGGGTGTCCAAATCAAATCCCCTCTGCATCTCCTTCAACTCCCAAACACTTTTGTCTCCACGTGCCCAGCCGACCTCGTCCAGCAACAGGATCTGCGGCTTCCGCACCAAGGCCCGTGCGATGGCGCAGCGCTGCTTCTGCCCGCCACTCAAATGTTCGCCCTTGAGCCCCACCAGGTCCGACCACTGCCTGCCACCGACCCGGGGGAAGAAACGCGGTGCGACGAAGCGCTGCATGACTCCATGACATGCTTCACGAAACACTGCTGATGGACTGCTCATTGTCTTTGGTTGCCTCTTTGGGGAGGTAACCTACCTTTAACTGATCTTTACCAGTGATAGCATTTCAAAAACTTGGACCCTCAAGTCTCTCGACATCCCCGTTTGGAGCCGCCTCTGGCGGCGTCCGAGAACACAGAAGATGTAAATGCCAACCATGTTTCTGCGCCGTGCCTGGGGCCATCTAAGACATAATCCATCTTCGCAAGGCGTGCAGCCTCGACGACCTCTTCATGCGTCGCCTGGACGAGGGCCACCAGGGAGTCGTTGACCGGCGGTTCCGAGTGGCCGCTCCGACCGAGTTGCGATCACGGTCCCAACACCGAAAAGCCGAGCCTCTTCGTATCCATATTTGACGTTCTCCTGACAGAACCGACACGTCGACCTGCAAATACTACATCTCATACATATAGTCGTTTTTAGGGATGTACAGTGTGCACCCTCATGATCCTGCATGGTTAGACAAACAAAGAACATTTAAACCACAAACCACTTTTGGCTGATTGTTTTTTCAGATTCTCAGCTCATTTCAACTCCTCCAGGGTCATATCGAAGAGGATCGGCTGCTGGCTCACCAAACCCAGTTGCTGGCGCCACCAGCGCACGTTCAGCTGCTTTAGGTCCCTTCCTCCAACCAGGATGAGCCCCTCCTGCGGATCGTAGAACCTCAGGAGGTGGAGAATCGAGAATTGGTCGAAACGGTGAAGATCGGTCCGGATCCAGATCTCCCTCCCAGTGTCCCAAGTGTCACGCCGGAAGGTTGGGCAACTGGCTCAAGTTCCTTTGAAGTGAACATGTGCGGCATCACACCGCATTGAAGCGCCGTCCGCCACACCGCACCGCCCCGGGTCCGTCGCCTCAGGAGGAGCTGAATCACCGTGGACTTGCCACTTCCAGAGTAGCCCACCAAGGCGACTTTCTGCCCTCTGCGAATCGTCAGTGAGATGCGCTGGAGGACTTTGGTCTCGGGCCGATGCGGATAGTAGAAGACCACCTGGCAAAACAAAAACACACCAAGAAGGTAGATGCAGTGAAGTTGAGGATGCATCCACGATGCATCGACTTCTTCAAAGTTACCATTTGAAGCACTTTCACCATGAAAAGGGCGGTCAAAGCAAGTCAAGTTGGTATGTTTCACCACACTAGGGGTGTTGGCCAACCTCGTGTATAGGTGGCCAAAATACTGGGCAATTCGCGCGCTTGAGGGGCGTTTGGTCAAGGACATTACTGTAAAGAGAAAGTCACCAAACCCTCCGACTCTTGCATCCATGAGTCTTACATGTCCTCGCGTTTCCCTTTAGAACGACTTGTATAAGTTTGATATACGACATTACCACGAAATCTTTGTGTTCTACACTGCACTTGATGTCCATGTTCGAACCGGGGTTCCTCAACCCAACCCTCCCCAATTCATGGAGAACGTGGCACCTCCTTGAGAGAAATGCTGCCATCCCCCAGGCTGCAGACGACACCCTCCGGCTGTACTGCATCGATCTTACTGCTCTGGTCGATCAAACGGAAGACCTCCCGGGCTGCCACCGCCCCACTGGCACTGTCAGGCAGATACATCGCCAGGATGCTGACATACATCACGCCAAAAACCACCTGGCAGAGGATCTGAGGTCGCCCGTTGATCTGAGGTCGCCCGTTGAATGGTTTTACAGCATCTTAATCAGCAGTTTGGGTGGGTGACATCTAGTGGTCTGATTTGTGTGGCAGACACACCTGTCCGTCAATCAGATCTTTCATGGACACATGATCTGTCCAGGCATCGGTCCAGCTATCCATCAAGAAACCCTAGTCTGATCTATGTAGACGGCTATCCATCAACAAACCGGTCTGCACTTTCATCTATGGATATTCTTTGTGCTTACATGGGGAAGCTCCAAAAAGGCTCATGCACTCCTCGCTCCTCTCTCGCCCCTTTGTCTGGAAGTTGTCTGCCGGTGGACTTGTGATGGACTACCCTATCTCATCACAAGCCCCTCACCCACCAAAAGGCCTGTGTTCCCAAAGCTTGTTGGGGGTCTTTGTTCCATGTGCCTCTAGAGCATCCACTAGCGTAGCATGCAAGCACACAACTCGAGTGCAAGCATAAGTCTGCCTTCTCTGTGACACCTTGACTATACATCCGGGAAATCAGTGACAATCCCATCAGCCCTTGATTGTCCTAGGCAGGCCACAACTATCTGCTAGACTGCCAGACCACCCCGCTATGGTGATGGGATCAGCTTACAAAGAAACATGGGAATGCAGAATGCCCCCTCGGTGATTCAAAGCCGCTTGGAAGAAAACCTGGCACCAAAAGAAAGAAGTAGACAACCTGGCGTGTGCAGGATCAGAACCCAGAGGCTGTCCTGGACAAAGTGAGCATGCTTAATGTGCCTTTGACAAAGCATCACCCAAGGTTGCACAAACCCTTGGGCCAACACTTTGGAACATCATTCACGGATGATACGACTCCGTTTTTTGGCGAAATGTCTTCTCATGATTGCTGCAAGGGCCGGCACCCTTCCTATCCACGCGGGCATCCGAGCTGCGCAAAAGAGCGTCAGCAGCACGGCCGAGGGATCAAACAATTCGCTGTTGATCATGGCCGCGGCCAGGAAGAAGCCGATCAAATAAATGACTGCCACCATGCCTAGGGGAGTTCTCGGACATGGATCGCACTTGGATGGTGGTGCTGAGCTCATGGAGCAATAGTGGTCAGGTGACGGGGTCAAATAGTGCCGGTGGCCACCATGCCTAGGCACCCATGATGGGAAGAATTGGGAAAGTGAGTGAAAATTCATCTGGGTGGGTGGGCACCTCAACCACAACCACTCGATGCAGGAGAGCGGGAGCAAATGAGCCCCCAATCTTTGAGACAACCCCTTCGGCACATTTTGGCACCAGACCTGAATGAAAGTCATCCTGGTGTTGCAAGGATTCAGCCCACCGGAAAGAGCAGCAAGTGGAAACATTGCCAAGCAAGAGTTAACAGTTAACAAATGCATATATGCATCCAGAAATGAAAAAAAAATATTCTCTATTGCTATAAAACACTTATAACAGGGTTATATAACCCTACCCATTTCCTAGTTGAAATTCCAATGGGGATACAAATGGATTTACATCTTGTTGGGTTTGCTCGCTGTGGGCTGCGCGCCGAGCGACTCGTGGTGAAGCCAAAGGCGAAGGCCTTCCGAGATGCGCTGCCACGGTGGTAGTTCGCCACCACCTGGCTGGCCACGGCTTCGGTCACAGGCCGGAGAGGCTAAACCCGTTCGTTTAAACTTCTTGCCAGCTATATGGTCAGCATGAAAGTCAAAAACTGCCCCCCCCTTTCATCAATCTTCTTTGTCGGAAAGTGTCTTTCTTGAAGGAGGCTGCCATTCCCAGGCACCTGCAAATGCGTGGTCAAGACCTGCAAGGTGTGCTCCTGGCAACTTGCCGCAGCCAAACAAGCCTCTCCAAAGCAAAGTATGCTGTACACATTGAAATTAGCTGTCCATTCTTGCATCCTCGGCCAGTTCGATGCAAACTTCTCCTTCACAGCACACCACCCTCTCCCCATCATCAATTCCGAAAAACCACTCGTCTAACACCCCCTTCTGCACCCATCCCAGATTCCCCTTCACCATCCCATCTCCAGAATGGGTGTGCGACCCCACGGGCGTCGGCTCCTCCGCCCTCAGCGCCCGCACCGTGCGGATGCTCGTCACCGCCTCGGTGGTCGTCTGCGAGGCCTCCGCGTAGGCGCGCTCCGCCGAGGGCCACGGCCGCGCAGCGGAGGTGGACAGAGAGGTCGCCAAGCCGAAGCCTTCAAAAAGAAGCCAGGCTCGAGAGGGACGAAATTACACCAGCATAGACCCCCAGATAGCAAAAGCATGCTAAAGATTATCCGAGACGTGTCATGAGATTTGGTCCTATCCATTTCGGGATGCCTGTTTTTGTTACAGAGTGTCTATTTTGCCTTCAATGCCCTGTTCCACGCAGTACGCAGAAAGTGGACTGTGTGGAACAGGAGCGCCGGAGCGTCGGGGGATTTGGAAGATGTGGCACAAGTCTGAAGGACACCAGGGACAAGGGAGGGCTTACGGCATGAACTTCGTTGATCAACCACTTGTGATTCTTCCTTGTGAGTCCATGCTGTTTCCACTGGGCTGCAGAGCTGCCTATTTCAACCTGGCGGTTGAACAATGTTGAACAGCTGATGAAGGTGAGGACTACACTCCCAACCCATGTCAGGACTAGTGACTAGCTACCGAGCGGAACAGGAAGCCCAACCGGGAGACGACCGAAGAAACTTGAGTGCAGGAATCCATAAAACCTCACCAAAGCATCCAAGGAAATGGGAATACTGTAGCGGAACTTGTAGCGGACATGAGCCTTGAGCATTCCAAAACGAATCAATCGAACTGCAAAGGGAGGTGGCATGTGAGAGGAAACCACTACGTTTGGTGATATTTGTGGGAGTTCATCTTGACCTTGGGCAGTCTGTGTGATAGATTACCATCTCACATTGCATGCTAGGCCACCTTGCCAGTTCAGTCTTCAGAGCACCACCCTCCTCAATCCACCACCTCGTCTCAAAATAGACCAGGGGGCCGATAGGCAGGATGCACAAGAGCACCAAGGCCAAAACCCAGGAGCCACAGAAACCCATGGACAGACAGGCCACACAGGTCAGCACCTCGAGCTGGAGCTGGGGGGCCCCCAGTTCATCGACGGAAGGTGATGTTCGACCAAAGAAAGGAAGGAAGGTTTGCAGGGGACAACTTCCAAAGTCATGGATGTTTTTCTCGCATGTGTTCAGCTGTCTTCGTCCTTGTCGTGCAAAAGACCTTGACGAAGAGATTGGCAGTTTCCGTTGCAGCCCTCTGTCATGGAGCAGAGGATGCGAAGTCTTGAGACATCCTATTGCACAAACCTGGCCACCAAACCCCAACACACACCACCCCAGTCCGGCGCCAGCGTCCACCGCGCACACCGGGTGCTCCGAAGCCGCTCCGCCGATGGTGTTGGCCAAGTTGACTCCGAAGATCTGTGACAGGCGAGTCATGTGCCGTTCGATGGACACCAAGAGGCTGGCGGTCTGGTTCCTCGGTCTGGGAGGCCGACCAGGCCGGCCGGAGCCACTAAAAGACTGGTTCAAGCCCTGATGAAAAGGGATGATGTGGAGACTGTGTGGGTGCTTCAAGATTCCATGGAGACTTCATGGCAAGCGCTAGTCACTGGCTGTGACTAGTCCGGCGCTTGCTCTAAGAAAGTCACATTCTTTCTCCCACTGGTCCGTTGCTTTCCATCATGCCGAGCCACTCCGGCTTGTCGAAGAAACTCATGTCCATCCGCAGGGTGCTACCGAAGGCATCCCTCCGTAATCTCTTGCTGATACCCTCCTGGCAACAAGGAAACGCAGGTCGCACAGGTCGCAAGAGGTCTGCCTCTTCGCCCCTCCTCAACATAGACCTGGATATACTCATCGAATGGCACCAGTTGCGGGTGCGCTGTAGGTCAAATTATATATATATATAGAACATAGCGAATGTTGAGTTGTCTCCATGGACGTGTCACTCCGTGTTGTGATCGTACCACCGCATCACACTTGGCCAAAAACACGGCCCAGTATATATCAGTAATGTAAACTCTTGATTAATAGACCATCCATAGGAAAAGAGTCTAGATTTATGTAAAGCCGCCTCCACTGGTGGCCTCCAACCTACCCCTCAAGTCCAAGACCTGTCCAAAGCTCCTCTGTCACTAAACTCGAATGGAGGAAACGCAAACAATGAGCAGAACCCCTGGCCCCGGCCCAGGCAGATCGCCTGCATGTAAGTGAACAAGCTATTCTGCAGAAAGACGCCCACACCAAACACCAGTCCCACCAACAGCAGCCCAATGCATGCAGCGTCAAGCTGTTTCAGCATCTCTTCCAACGATTCGGAGTAGAAGCTCAAGATGGCGCGGTTGAAGAAATAGGCCTGAACTGTCTGACAGTTCTCGATCAAGGCCCTCCACTTAGTGACTTAGTGCCCCGTCCCACGGCAGTCTCTTCGCATCCTGGAAGTGACGAACCCCAGGCACTGAGCTACGCCCGGATGCTGGCTCCCCGCCTGGGCTGGCGCGCTGCATGCAGCCAAAAGCACCGCCAGGAGCGCGAGTGGGATCACCTGGGTGGGTTTTGATTGAGATCACAAAATTGACATCTATATAATCCCTCCTATTGCGGAGAAGAACTTCAGGTTTTTCTCGGCTGCGGATTGGGGTGGGGAGACAAGCCAAATACTTTGTAACCAAGTTGTGACCCACCCGAGTTGTCGACATCCTCAAGGGTCGTATGAAAACGAAATTTGGGAGGCGTGGAGTCACGCTCCGCATTTGCAAAGCGGACCTTGGTGGAGCTGCCGGTGCCCGTGATCAGCACTTGAGAGCACTTGCATTTGGCAAGGAACGGCCGGGCCAAGGAGAAGCGCGACTACTAAGCCACCCGCTGAGAAAAAAGAACAGAAACTAAAATATCTAAAAATCGTTACGATCACCCTGCCGCATTGAGGGCAAAATATGTCGAAACAAAAGATCCAACAAGAATTTCGAGCTTCGTCACGGTCCAGTCGGGCTTGGCCGTTTGCAAGAGCCGCCAGAGTACCCCAGGCCGCGAGCTGTGCACCTCGTCTTCGTCGTCCCCTTCGGGGAGCTCGAAGAAGGAACCGTCCCCGCCGCCGCCGCACGACCAGCTTCGAGAGAGACTCCTGCAGACTGGGAAACGCAAAAGGCCCAAGGCTTAATCATAGTCCTCCTGACCGCCTGGCCCGACCCCCTCAACCGAACTCGAAGAAAATGGAGTTGCCCAAAAGGCTCTTGGCCCCCTGGGCGATTGATTTTTGCCTTGATTCAACCACCGAAAACCATTGTTTTACTAAGGATTTTGCGCTGCAAAACTAGGTCAACCAATTTTTTAAATGGGCCTGGAAGGCTAGGAAAAGAAGGTATGGTGATTCAGATTCACCATCTCGCAGAGTCCTGACATCTTTAGATGTGGCACTCGCCGAAAAGACAAGTATTTTCTCGTCAACTTCGGAACCCAGCTCAAAGAACGCGCATGACATCCCCACCCCACAAGGTCAATTTCGCACACTTGAACGGCGAATTGTTCCCCCACTGAAACATCCCCCTTTTGACCAAGAGCCATACACTGTGCAAATGGCTGGCTGACGCCTCCCAATTTCCCCTCTGGCTAGGCACTGTGCTGCTACCCATGCACGAAGGACAAGAACAGGGTAGAGGGAAACGAGACACTCTCTGCAAAATGAACGGTGAGTGGGAAAGAGGCGGAACATGTCGCTCAGCTCTTGAGGAGACCAAAGCACAGGAAGAAACTCCGAGATGCACCATGTCTAAATTTAAAAAATCATTCAGAGAATCAGGTGAGGTCCTAATCTTTCCAGGTGGCCCCCTTTGCGAAACACGGCCACAGGCTGAGGTCCCTGACATGATGCCTGAGGCAAAGTCTGGCTGGCTCGCCCGCGTCTGGTCCCGGCTCTGCCTCGTCACCTCCAACATGCCGGCGGTGCAGGTTGGGGTCACACCAAACTCAACAGCTGTGGAGACCTTTACAGACATGTTACACATCAGTATCCAGATGGCATAACCTTTACAAACACGTTACGCATCAGTATCCTGCAACATCCTGTATGCTGTATACCATCGGCTC